GCTCGAATTGCCAGTGAAACGCTGTTGAGCATCGACGGCAAGCTGATGGATGAGTTGGTTGTACTTGGGTACGTTTCCTGGCAGTGAAACAGCAGATGTCATTGAATAGGGTATATTGGAAGTATTCTGCGTATCGCCTTACATTACTTGGTGGTTCCGGTCCCCCTTGACAGCTTACCGGCTGGCGACCCAGATGCCACTTCCTACTGACATTTTGCACTGTGTGACATCGAGTACTCATCTCTTTTTCGGACTTGAATTAAATGGACCTGGTCGTTCATTGTTCAACTGACGTAACAGTGAATTCTATGCGCCGGTGGGCGCCCCAGTTTCTAGTGTGCGCACGCCCTCCGGATGGCTGGTACTAGAAACGATTCAAGGAGGGCCTACCTACATCTTGAACGGCAGTCCCTGACGGCAGTCCACGGCACCCCCATAGTTCTCCGACAACTCGTTCACGACTATATCCCAAACTCCCCAATCCCACGCCAACCCCGCATGCCCAACTCTATCCTCCGGGCAATAATCCTGCACCACTAGATTTCTCACGCCCTCCTGAACAACAACACTCTTCTCCGGCGCCACCAACGTATCGTACTCCGACACGATCACACTTGCCTTCACACCCCCCGGCACGATGTGTCCCTTCGCCTTCTTGAAATCCTCATACACCTCCCCACCCGTCGCCATATCATCGCACGCCGCACACCCCAGCGTCTTCAGCGCCAACGCCGCCAGCCTCCTCGTCACCTCCCCTCCCAGATAGAACAGATCCGTAAATCCGTAATACTGCGCCCCATGCACCGCTGGACCCAGCGCAACCGAATGCTCCACGATATCGCTGATCCCTGCCTGCGTCAAGGGAACATACAGAGCCATAACGCCTCCCTCTGAATGCCCCACTACATCCACCTTTGGTTTCCCAGTTTTTTGCTGCACTTCTTTGATGTACGCTGCAACCTGTTTCGCGCTGGAGCGCATGCTCGTGAGTCCGCCGATCCAGGGGACGAGCGCGTGCGCGCCGTAGGTGAGGCTGTAGGTGCAGTATCCGAGGTCGGTGAGATGGAAGGCGAGCTGGTTGAGATCGACGAGTTTGTTCGCGGAGAGGCCGTGGAGTAGGATGACGGGGTTGTGGGGGGAGTGGCAGGAGAAGGAGCCGTCGGAGGAGGGGAGGCCAACGAGGGGGTTGGAGAGGAGGTCACTGGGGATAGACCAGAGGTCGCGGGATGAGAGGGCGGGCGAGAGGGCAGAGATAGCGAGAGGCAGGAGGGCGGTGAAGGAGAGTGAGACACGCATGGCGGGTGAGTACGCGTTTGGGTGAGGGGTCGTCGAGGTGCAGAAAAGACAGGGAAATCCGACGGTAGAGTTCTCGATGGGTTTATGTATGCATCAGTACGGTGCCCTGACAGTGAAACACGGGGAAACGGTGGTTACTTGTTACTATCTGTAGCGAGCGATGTTGGTGAGAAGTGGCAATTGGTTATGGAAATTGATAGAAAATGCATTGAGATCGAAAGAGCATCGCAAGTCTTCGGAAGTGCGGCGGGAAGCGTATGGCAGCTTATGATCATGTGGGCAACGCTGAGGGGCTGCTAGTGGTAAGTATGCTCTCTGTCAAGAGTGATCGTCGTGAGGTACATTACTCACAAATTTACACACTCAGCTGCTGGCCTGAGTTCATCAGGAGTCTACAGCTCGCTGCACTCGAGCTCAGAAACAGGCGCGGACCACTACATCGCAGCAACCTTTCATCGGGGCAAAATTCATAAAAGCAAATGAACGCATCAAGTTACAGTGAAAACTGGTGAGTGGGCGATGGACTAGGTCGTCGCGTTGTGGAACGTAGAGAGATAGAGAGCGGGCTGTGCATTGTGTTGACCATCGAAACTGGCCGTATCGTGGTGGTGGTTAAAGTCCAAGTGCGAACAGGGGAGAAGGCGGAGGTCATTGACCAGCATCAACATCGCCGCGGCATCGTTGGTGGTGCGAGCTCTACAAAAGACCAGTCAAGCTTCGTCACTAGTCCCTAACCCCACCGCTATTCCGCCGCAGCGCGCCGAACTTCGAGGAAGTCACCCTGCTATATCATGACTTTTGGTAGTACTTAGTACGCCGACGGATCTTGTTACGCTGATAAACTCTCTCAAATTCGCCATACACACGCTCAAGTCGCCCTCATCGCCCACGATTGTGTCTAAACCAATGCTGTCGCAGTAGCTACTTCTGCTTCAAGGCTGCCTGCTCCTTCTCCCAATCCTCGTCCAAAACCGCCATCAACACTCCATCGACCCACTCTCCGTTCACCCAGTGCTCCTTCGGCCACTGTCCTTCCTTCTTGAATCCACTAGAAAAATGATCAACATCAGCACTCTCCCGTCGATGCGTCGCTTGCTATGAACAAGTTGGACTCACCATTTCTCGTACACCTTGATCCCCGCCACATTCGTCGCGAAGACCCCCAACCAAACTCTATGCAGCCCGCCCATCTTAAACCCCCAGTCCACAACGAACCGAGTAACCTCGCTTCCGTATCCCTGACCTTGATACTCAGGCATGATCGCAAGAGAGTACTTCGCGTCGCGATTCTTTGCCACCGTAGGTTGAGACAGGACCGTATACCCGACAAACGCGTCGGGGGAGGAACGGAGGGTGACGATGGCGTGGAAGAAGGCAGGATCGAAACCCTTTTCAACAATGGACTTGGTGCGGGAGGGGGCGCAGGGCGCGACGGGGTTGCGCGTGCCGGAGGTTTGGACGGAGAGGTTGTTGAGGAGGGCGTGGAGGGCTGGGAAGTCAGCGGGGTCGTAGGCGCGGAGAATGAGGCGGTCGGTTGTGTACATCGTTGTAAGGTTGATCAAAAGGGATTTTTAATTGTTTGTGAGAGACGTAAATACTGTGAAGCAGCAGCTTTATACGACTGCAACTCAAGAACCCGCAAGTCCTCCGTTCTCCCTCCGCCCAGTCTCCGTTCAAGTTCTGACCATCTGAATAGGAGACTCGATGATGCGATGATAGGATCATGACAACCATTGAGTTTGTTGCGAAGAATCCGCTCCTCCTTCGTTCTCTTTCCGCCCGGTCTCCGTTCTGAACGTCTGCATGGAGATAGACGATCTATGGTCTAGACTGGGGTACGAGCGCAGTACTGTGGGCTGCTTTGCACACCAATTCGAACTTGCTAGAGCGGACACTCGGTAGTACCTGATTGCCCTACGCCGCGGCAAACATGGCCAACAAGTCTGCTCTGAGGTTGATATTCCAGCAATCTAAACCTTTCCCCCAGATTATCGTTCGCCCAACGTACTTAGTCGGTCTGCTGTATGGACCCTCTCTATGTCCACCGCATTTCCCACTCCTTTCACTACCTCCATCATGTCCGCACCTCCAGCACTCCGCAGCAGGGGCAACAAGCCACGAACTAAAAGTAATCCGATCGGCCGCAGACTGGTACAAACGGAGACGCGATGAGCTGCATATAGATCGACGAGCTCGCGCAACGTATGGGGAAATTCGAGCAGGAGCTTGCGTCGGTACAGCGGCAGATCGACTCGCACGCTAATTTGATTTCGCCGATGCGCAGGATACCGAGCGACATCCTTCGGGACATATTCTCTTACGCCATTCCCCCCGCTTCTACGCTTCAGTTCGATAACATGGGTCGGTTGTATACATGGCTATTTGGCTGTTGTGTGGTGGATGTAGGTATTTCTGGTAAGCTTAGGTGCAGCAAGCCAGCTGCTTTATACGACTGAAACTCAAGGACCCGCAAGTCCTCTGTTCTCTCTCCGTCCAGTCTCCGTTCAAGTTCTGCACATCTCAAGAGAAACGGGGTTACTGCAATGATGGGATCATCGAAAGCATTCAGTTTGTTGTGGATAATCCGCTACTGCTCCATTCTATTTCCGCCCAGCCTCCGTTCAGAAGGAGCGTATGGGGATATGTGCTCTAGAGTCTAGACTTGAGTGCTCAGCACGCTAATTCGAACTAGCCGTTGAAGTCGGCAACGATCACCGGCAGTACCCGATTACCGCACGCCGTGGCGAAGATGGCCAAACCAACGCGATGGCCTCTGCTACCGCTTTTGCACTTGGACCGCCACCACCACGACAATGCCTCTCTCCCTGTCAATGGCTCGTAAAATGAACAAGCGTGTAATCATCGCTCTTTGTCCTGTCTGGCTCAGAGTCAGAAAGATATAAAGCCACAGTCTCCAGGATGCTGCCTCAGAGCACCCCCCTCATCTCGTCGCCCCGCTCGCTCTACCTTGTCGTCAGCTAACACCATGAACAACGTCGTACCTTCTGAGCTTCCCGCTGTCAAGCTATGCAAACAAACATCCTCGGACGACGAAGAACTCTCGTTCCACGATGCGCTACTCTCAACCATGTCGAAATACCATTTCACCGACGTTGACATCCTACTTCCATAGGAGCTCGACGCGCAGAACACAGATCTCAACTTGGACAAGGTCAATACGGTCCTCAGCCACATGTCGATCGTTGTCCCGACTTGGATACGCTCGCCGACCGGCATATAAATCCTGCTTTCTCCGAGTATCCGTCACCCCCCGTCAGTCTAGATCTGAGCACGTACCTCGACAGTTCGACACAAACCTCACCATACCGCGCCGACTCGTGTTCCAACGTCGCGACATATGCATCCGAGTCGTAATGATATTCCGTATAATCCATGCTCTTACACCCCTACATCCCTCTTAGCTCAGTTGGTAGAGCGCGTCACTAGTAATGACGAGGTCAGTCGTTCAAATCGGCTAGCGGGAATGCGCCTGTCCTTGCTGGGAAGTTTTTGCTCGCTTTTACGAGCTCTGAGCTCAGATCAAGTCGTGGTCTGTACTATAGTTACATGTACATTCTCAGCTCCCAGCAGGCTGCAGGGATTCAAATTTCTATGGATGCAGCGACCAAAAGTTCTACAGTTAAAACTGTTACAAAAGGATAGTTAAAACTGTCACAAAAGGATTGAGGACCGATTGCAAATGATTCGGATACGGGGAATCGAACCCCGAGCTGCCGCGAAGCAGTCAATACTGTCACATGAGAGGCGGCAATGTTAACCATTACACCATATCCGATGTCCAATACACCCTTGGAGTAATGTTATATCCACAGAACAATGTTCTGCCACCCGTCGGAACCTCCGCGGATCTTCTCTCGCCAATAGCTCACATCCTTATCACATCCCATCATCGTCCCACCTCCATGTCGACCCCCACCCCCGACCTATCCTACCTCTCCATCCTCAACACTTGCGACGTCGCTTATCCCCGCTCCCCCGGCCCACCTCGCTCTCTCCTTCCCCGCTCCACCCCTGCCCAAGCCACACACGACGCCGAGTCCACTCTCCTCATCCCGTTTCGCCTGTCCCAGGATAAAGGAAGTGCGGTGGTGGGATTGGTGAGACCTGTTGTGGTGCAGGCGTTGAGAGAGGAGAGGGAACATCCGTTTGTGTTTGGGTATGACTTCCAGCCGACTCCCTCTGCTCTTGCACAGCAACAGGGAGAAGAGCAGCGGGGTCCGCCGGATCCGACGTTCGTAGCGTTCTCGGACCAGTATAAGACACATGCGGAACGAACGGAGGGTATACGGAGACTTTGTGAGCGATGGAGAGACGAGGGGAAATGGGAGGGTGTTTGTGGGAAGGGGCAGTGGAGGGGGGAGATGTACGCTATTTATAGAGATCCGTTTGGAGGGAGAGATTATCCTGTGCCAGGTGCGCACCATTCCTATTCATCTGATATTCCAACCTGGTGCTGATTATCGCTCCAGGACAGGGAGAGGAGGCGAATCTGAACTATGCGTTCGAGATGGAACGTTCGGCGTGTGCGTTGTTTGGTGTTGTTACGTATGGCGTGCATATGTCTGTTTATCATGAGGAAGAGGATGGTAGTCTGCGCGTGTGGGTGCCGACGAGGGCGAAGTCGAAACCTACGTATGTGATTCTACCCTCTCTTCCCTCCCTTCTGCCTTTCCTCTCCCTCCCCCTTCTTCCTAATCACTATGATCATTCCCCCCTCATCCCTATGATCATTCCCTCCTCATCCCTATGATCACTCACCCCATCCCAGCTGGCCAGGCTACCTGGACAACTCCGTCGCCGGCGGCATCCCCGCCGGTATGTCCGCCTTCGAAGCCGTCGTCAAAGAGTCTGAGGAAGAAGCCTCGATAGCGGAGGATGTGGCGAGGAGGTGGGTGAAGTGTACGGGGGCGATCAGTTATTTCTTCCGGTGCGTTTTTCTACTATCCTACGGGTTTGAGTTCGCCCTCTATGGGGTTGATTTCGCCTCCTACGGGTTTAAGTTCGTACTTGGTGAGAGATGGATGTGGTGCTGATGAATGGTTTGGTGCAGGACGGAAACGGGGTGGCTCCAACCTGAAGTCGAGTACGTCCCCTCTTTGCAAGTTTCCCCCGCTCTGTCTAACTGCCACGGTGCATTTACGAACAGATACGTATACGACCTCCCAATCCCTCGCAACGCCGACTTTAAGCCTCGTCCGAATGATGGGGAGGTGGAATGTTTCGAGGTCCGTCCTGTCTTTCCTTCCTTCCCCTTCCGCGGTCAAGTGTAACTTGGACTCTGATAAGCTGATTGGTGGTGGATCACACAGCTACTCTCCCAAGACGAGTGTATATCGCGGATGCGGAAGGGACTGTTTAAGCCGAACTGTGCGCTTGGTGAGCCTCGTCTTTCCCTCATCTCGTTTGCGTTATTACTTCGTACGCGTGTGCTCCCTCTGCTTCTTTGGCTTGTGATGCGCTCGGGAGCACGTTCAGGGCGTGGGAGCGCCCCGGATGTCGTCGCTGTGTACTCGGGAGCGTCGAGCGTTGCGTGGGGTCTAGTCGCTGCTCAGCCTATCCGCTGCCTAGCCTAGGCTGTACACAGCGGGAGCGCCCCGGACGTCGTCTTGCCGTCCACTTCGCATCTCAGTCTTCGTTATCCTCCGGGCGTCGTTGTCCCAGCTCGTACTAATAACCCTCACCCTTAGTGATCATCGACCTGCTCATCCGCAAAGGCTTCATCACACCTGACAACGAGCCTGACTTCATGGAGATCAATACGCGGTTGAGGGGACGGTTCCAGTATGAGCGGTGGTAGGCGTTACGCTGCAGGGCGATGTAGAGGTTACGTTGCAGTCTAGAGTGGCCTAGCGCATTATGGCGCCTGAGGCTGAAGTTTGGTAGACATCTAGAGTGGTTACACGGTGATACGGGTCGTAGGGCTATGTTAAATTACAGGAAGCAGGAGGCAGGAAGACGACGATCTAAAGACAAGTGGCGCATCTAAGTACATAGAAGCACAAGTCAATCAAGTATTTTTCACGGTCAGTAAAACGCCTGACTCTGATCAATAAGGCCACGAGGCTCACTCTGACTCCTTCACTTATTCCGACCGAGTCGCCTCCCGGGACTCCGTGAACCGTCTCTATCAGAAGTCAGTCAGTCAACATGCACCGCGTGTCGAAAGCGAGGCTGCTCCGCCCAATCTCATCTTATCCTTCTCCCCTCACCACCACCACCACCACCCTCCTCCCACATCGGACGTTCTCCTCCTCCCCCTCATCCTCAACAAGCAAATCAACACCAATGCTCACACTCGCGGACCTCAACCCCGCCGTCGCAAACGTCGAGTACGCCGTGCGCGGGGAGCTGGCTATCAAAGCTGAAGATTACAGAGTGAGGTTGCAGGAGAAGCCGGATGGGCATGGATTGCCGTTCCAGAGGGTCATTTCGAGCAATATTGGGAATCCGCAACAGAAGGGGTTGGATCAGAAGCCGATTACTTGGACGAGGCAGGTGTGGCCCTTTCCCTCTCTTAATTTGATTTGGACTGGGGATGGAGTTGTGGGCGTGGTGTGGGTGTGTTGGGGTTGAGAGTGCAATGCTGACAGTTCTTGCGTGTAGATCGCTGCGTTGACAGAATTCCCCGAACTTGCTGAGCTGGCACCGGGCGCGTTCCCCAAGGACGTCGTTGCGCGCGCTAAAGAGCTTTCGGACGAAATCGGGTCTATCGGCGCGTACTCTCACAGCCAGGGCGTCCCTCTCATTCGCGAACACGTCGCGCAGTTCATCTCCGGTGCGTCTCGCCTCCTAGAATCTGGGAGATGCATACTGATGACGTGCATACTTGACAGAGAGAGACGGATACCCCTCCGAGCCCTCGCACATCTTCCTCACCGCCGGCGCGTCGGCTGGCGTTTCCCTCCTTATCAACCTCCTCATCGACCCGTCCAAGAAATCAGGCATCTTGATTCCCATCCCGCAGTACCCACTCTACACCGCTGCCCTCGCTCAATTCGACGGTATCCCCGTTCCATACCACCTCGATGAGTCCGCCGGTTGGTCGACCTCTATCGCCGACGTCGAAGCTGCGCTAGAGAAAGCAGGGAAGGAAGGAACGAAAACGAAGGCGATGGTGGTCATCAACCCCGGTAATCCCACCGGTGCTATCCTCGACGAGAAAACCATGGAATCCATCGTCAAAACCTGCGAGAAACACGGACTCGTGTTACTAGCAGACGAAGTCTATCAAGATAACCTCCACGACCGCGAAAACCACCCCTTCATCTCCTTCAAAAAGGTCGTCTCAAAGCTCCAATCCCCCATCCCTCTCGTCTCGTTCCACTCCATCTCCAAGGGCGTTTCAGGCGAGTGCGGTAGAAGGGGAGGATACTTCGAGCTGGTGAACTTCCCTGAGGATGTAAGGGGGCAGATATACAAGATGGTTTCCGTCGGTCTTTGCCCGCCTCTTTCCGGACAGATCGGTGTCGATTCCATGGTCCGCCCTCCGAAGAAAGGCGGCGAATCCTACGACCTCTGGCACTCCGAGACCTCTTCCACCCACGCCGCCCTCGCCCAACGCACCCAACTCATGGCAGCCCGCCTAAACGCTCTCCCAGGCGTCTCATGCGTCCAATCCCCCGGCGCTCTGTACCTCTTCCCCAAGATCACCCTTCCTCCGCGTGCATTGGAAGAAGCGAAGAAGAGGGGGAAGGAGCCGGATGTGATGTATGCGCTTGAGATGCTGGATAAGACGGGAGTGTGTGTGGTGGCGGGGAGTGGGTTTGGGCAGAAGGAGGGGGAGGCGCATTATAGGGTTACGTGTTTGTGTCCGGGGGTGGAGGAGTATGTGGGGTTATTAGAGGGGTTCCACAGGGAGTTTTATGAGGAGTATAGTTAGATTGCAGGTGCGGTGGGTTGGATGGGTAGAAGGGTGTAGAATGGGAAGGGTTTGGTTCGATAGACGTTAGATAAATAAACAGATACTGCGTCTTCCATTTCTGTGCTCGACTTTCGTTATGCTGATCGCCCATGAAACCAACGAGGAAGACCGGATGCGCAATGAGCAATGAATGGTTGTCATTCGTATTGTTTTACCACAAGCAAGCGACGTCATGTCCCTCTTAGCTCAGTTGGTAGAGCGCGTCACTAGTAATGACGAGGTCAGTCGTTCAAATCGGCTAGCGGGAATGGCTTCCTGCATTGGAGTGTTTTTCGTTGTTCTGTGGTTTAATATTTATGTGAGGAGAAGCCCGATCTTCTTTCCAGATTGTTTTTGGTGTCCTCATCTTACATAAAGCGTGCAAAGAGGTCGGCGAGCAAGAATTATGTGGAGAGCGACGGTTCCTCCGATGCAGAGGAGGAGTAGGAGGAGCCCCTGTCAGTATTCTTCGCTTAAAAGCCAGTGGCTTAGACCAAATCGCTTAGCGTCGCCACTTTTCTGGGCGGAGGAAGCGACACCGTGCATTCCATTGACACCACGCAAGCCCTCATGGCTCCAGTCTTTTAATCTATACCTGACTGCTTCCTCGACGTTCTTATAACCGTTATCAAGACATTGCCCGCATCTATCGTCTCGACTCTAGCGACGCACCGCTCTTGGATAGCAGCCCTCCCTCCTACCGACATCGACCTCCCCTGCGAGACGCTCATGAGGGTGGTAAGGAACCTTCTGCAGCTGGCGCTCGCGGGGAATGTCATGATACCCGAAACCGTGCCGTCGGATTCCTTGAAGAGGATTTATGATATTCTCCGCGAAGACATCATTTCACTTTGTTATGATGAAAGCCAAGCTAT